GCGGCGCGGAGATGCAACAAATTAACAACTTTTCAAGCTCGCCCGAACCGGATATTATGAAATTTACCAGTTTCGAGTGCCATATCGAGATTATAAAATGGCTAAATTTATGCAACCGCCTCGGGGCTGGACGGCAGGACCCAGAAACCGGCTGCAGATCCCCTAATCAAGTTGTCAGCCTGCACATACATATTTCCATTCCGCACTCAAATATATTGCGCTTTATTAGTTTATGAGCTGGCCGGTGCAGGGACAACGCCCGCGATCTCAATGTTAAGTTGAAGTGCAACCGAAGTGCAACTGAAGTGCAAGTGAAGTGCCACTTGTGCGGGGCCCACTGTGCGGCTACGTAATGCCCGCGCATTACATTACGTATACGTCACGCCCTAGCCAAAAATGAGGGAGAAAATCATAAACACTTTCACATAGCCACTCAGTGGGGTGGTAGTAATGGTGGTGCAAGCGAATTGCCTCAGCAATTAGTTAATGACCGAATATGTATGCCGAAAAGAAAGAAACCGAACCCAATGAATTGGAATGGAATGAACTGAAAGTAGCGGACGTTTAATTACCATACAATAAAGCAGTCGAGTGCATATGCAAGTTTGCTCAGTTGGTATAATTAAATATGAAAAAATCGAGCAATGACATGTGGAATAATAAGTTATATAAGTTTTAAGAACAGAGTTTCCATACACATTTCAAACTATCTGTGGCCTTTCCCCATCCAAATGGGATTTTATTTCTTAGCCATTTCAGTCAAGCATAAAAGTGAATGTGCGAGATACAAATTCGTGGGCAATAAATGCACACAGTGAATAAAAATCAAAACTGTGCAAATGTAAAGTGCTAAAAATAACAAATACCGTGTAAAGTGTTTGTGAGTGCTTTTGGCAGCGAAATTTCGCAATCTACGAAGAGTGTGCGTGCCACAAATTAAAGCTGCCGCAATAATGGAATAATAAATCAGCATACAGCATAAATATGCATTTGATGGAAAAGATAGAGAAATGGCGTGGAAAGCGAAAACGATAACAGAAATCAAAATGCAATTCGCATTTCCTTCCGTTTTTTTCGAGTTTCGAACTCAGCTCGGCATTTGAACGCTTGGAAACGCATTTGGAAATTTGGAGCAATTAAATGGCAAAACATTTACACTTGACTGCAACGTGATCTGAACCGATGTCTTCCTGAATGGGGGGAATATCCACATGGAGAGCGGACCAAACCCAATCCGACCCGTTGTGGGCGACGGGCGACGCGAATTAACCCACAGAGGCAATAAAATTGAAACTTCAAAGGTGGCAAGCGCTTTAGACTGGGATCAAGACGCCGCCAATCTGGCTGCTCCACTTTGGCACCCGGAACATATTTTCCAAAAACACCACACACACGCGGCACCGCTTATAGCCGCCACAATTATGCTTTTCAGTGTATGGAATTCTTTTGTGGCTCTGAATTTGCCTTTATTGCCAAATTGTGATCACTTTTTTATGGCCAAGGTATCGGCAAAATAAAAATACGTGGTGAATAAAAAGTGAAAGAAGCTTACCTAATACCTAGCTTGGGGAACGCTCTGGTCTTTAATAACTCACGAGGAAAAAAATAACTTACCGATTTTATAGTACAACATATTTTGAAAAGTCAAAAAAGACTTACATTATACATACTATATATTGTAAATTTTATATTAATTACAATTACATTATAGTATACTCGATATAATATTAAATTTAAATAGAACTTCGGAATTAGTGTCCAATACAAAGTGCCTCAGATCTAAAAGGTTTACATTTGTATTTTCCAAGAGATATAAATAACAAATATTTTTCTGTGTAATTCCTATTTAATATTTCTTGTAAAAACTCCTTAGCATTTGGTTTGGCCTGCTGAAACATTTTCAAACATTTACTCTGCCCTGGCCTCACTTAGGTTGGGTAAATTGGCCAGGAATTCACGGCGATTTGCCTCAATGGTTTGCCGTTGCCAATTTGCATCGCTTGGACTGCTATTGACTAGTGGCCTGGGTGGCGGTAATCTAGCCTCCGCCTCCTCGACTTGGGGAGCCTTCTCGGCATTGTTGATTTGGGCCCTGTGGTATTTTGAACTTTCAGTTTTTTTGGGTTCTGCAGTGGTGGCCTTGCTGGTTTCTTGATCCGCCGGCAGTTGGAAGGGAACTATGGGAAACTGCTGGGGAATTAGATTCTGAACCGGGCGCCCTTTGGCTGGGTCCTTGCCCTGGATCACATCGAGCACCGCCGGCTTCAGCACATCCTTGGTCACATCGATGTGGTTTAGGTCGAGACCATGCTGTTCCTTCAGCTGCTGGGCCACATGATCCGCCACATGGGAGACGCTCACGTTGAGATGGCTCTTGGGATCCCAGGTGACATTTGAAGGAGCATCCGATTTGCTTCTCTCCACAAGGATATCCGGTCTTTCGGTGGGCCAAACTGATTTTATTTTCTCATCGCCTGCTTTAAAAATCTGAATCTGGGCCGAGTAACCTCCATCCTCATCCGCCATGTAATGGGTGACTTCAATGCGTCCATCTGGCCTAGCATAGCCATAGCTTCCCCGGATGCTGCCATTCACAAATCGTTTTTCTTCTCGAAACTGAGAGTTCTGCGTCTGTGGATCATCAATCTCATAGCCGAAGGAATATGTGTTGGGCCCTATAAATTAAATTTGGAATAATAATTTTTAAGGATTTTTTAATGTTGCATACCGTAAGGCTCGTGCACGAAATAGTTTTTCACTTTGGCTTTTTCTTTCCCAGGTTTAACTTCAGGCTGATCGTATACTTTGACTTTTTCGGGCAATGGATTGGACAACGCGGCGTATACTTTTGTGGTTAATACAAAAAGCTACAGGTGAAATAAAATGATCAGTATATATTAAGGCGTAAAGCTTGTGTAGCAAAGCGAAAAAATAAATATGTAACATAATTTTTCTTCTTGGTAATTAATTTTTTTACATTACATTGTTTTATATTTGCATTCTGGTCTTTGATTGAACCGCATAGGTTGTCGAAACGCTCAAATGCCAAGTTAATTGATTGTGTTGCCAAAAGTAATAACACACGTGTTTTCACCAAATGAACCAAAAACTAAATGTATATTAAAATAGGGCCACAATCAGTGGGTTTATTTGCTTTTTGTACTGTAAATATTTTGTTTCATTTCAAGACATTATTTTTCTTTTCATTTTATACAAGCTTTTACAATTAACAATATATCTGTTATACTGCTGTTGTTTAAAGTACACATTCAGAGCAAAAAATATTGAGGAATACTAAAGAAAAACCTTTTTATTGACTTTCATTGCCAGAACACTTTAAAATCTGAGTACTTTTAAATGTTTTTTATACACAACTAAACATTCCTGAGCATGGAACTAATCTCTTTTCGATTGCCAATTTCTAAGCACTTACAAAGAACCAAAATAAATGTGACGAATGGCCCATGCTGAATTTTAATTTTCCTCGCCTGTAGATCGGTCTATCACATTTATTTCGGTGCTGTTATTATTATTAATTTATTTTTGACCGGCGAGTTGCGCGTACTTTCGATGGCATAAACAGACTGAAGACCCGAGAAGCTAAAACGAAATGGAGAGGCAATCTATGTGGGTGCGAATCCCCATTTGGAATACTGCGGCGGAATGCTAAGTAATTTTCTTATTTTTGCTCTGCTAATTATTATAATAATTTTTTCCCACCATGCTAATCTTCACGACCTTCGCTGTAGCTTCAAAAACCAAACCAAGAAACGAGATAATCATTAATTTTTCAATATGATTTTTTATTAATTTTTTTTTAGTTTTTTCTTTCTATTTCCATAATAACGTTTTCGCATTTCGTTTGCTGTTTGCTGCTGTTCGTGTTGCTGTTTTTGCATACAAATGTTTATGGGGAATATATAGTACATAATTGTAGGACTCAAATGAACTTTTGAGACGTGAGAGACATGTGAGAGTTTGTTTTTCTTTCTTGTATCCTCCTAATTGAGTACAATGTTTATTTTTTTGTAGCTTTTTTCGTATGTTTTTCTTTGTTTGTTTATAATTAAGCTGCATAATTCTTTATAAATACACAATAAATGTGAAAAATACTAAATGCAAAAAATGAAACTAGATACAAAGGTGTCAGACTGAGAGTAAGTGAGTGAGAGAGAGATATATAAAGAGAGAGAGAGAGAGAGAGAAATAGACAGTGAGTCGTTGAGTGAGTGAGACGGGTGAGAGTGGAAGAGAGAGGCGGAATGCGGTCACGAGGATAACAGCGGGGATTTCTAGAGTACTAGCTACTAATGCACAATGACCGGCCCATTACCGCAATCTTTTGCCTTCCAAGGACCTGTTCTGCTAGAGATCCTATCAAACTGTCAGCAATCCCGCAATGGCACACAATTTAGCACGCCCACCGTGGCTCTCAATGGGGCGTGGCAGTTAGAGGAAGCTGGCCACAGTTTGACAGTCATCGCAAAGGCTTCTAAAGAAGATGATGTAGAATAGGAAAATGTATAGCATAGAAGAGAGATAGTCATAAATATATTACAAAAGTTTAGCTTGGGAAACTGAAAGAACTAAGCGTATAAATAAAGTTCTATGTACAGAGTGAGGAGAAGTCCTAAAAGAAGCCTTTGCCGTCCTTAAAATACAATTATTGTGCAAAAGTTTGCCAGCGAAATCGTTTCTGGTTCATCGTACGTACATATGTATATACAACTTGAAAACTTGTCACTCCAATTCCGGTTGTCATCCTTTGCGCGTTCATCATCCGCGATCAAGTCATTCCGAATGCCAAGTCGTTATGAATTTCTGTTTGTTTTCGGTTCGGTTTATATCCTTCGTCCTTGTGCCATGCCAGGATCAGCCGGGTGCCGGGACACGCCCCCTAAGGCGGTCCGTGTCTACTAAACTCTACGCTACGCTTACTTACAAAAGATTTTCATTTTCGTTGTTTGTTTGTTTGTTTTTTTTTTGTGGTTTTTTGTTTGTTTTTCTGTTTGTTGTTGTTCCTATGAAGATTCTGGTGTGAATGGATGAGAGCGAGAGGGAGAGCACCTTGGTGACTAAGTCAGGCTCCCGCTTCCTAGTAATGATGCAGCAGGGTGTGGGGGGCCAGCACGGGGGCGGCATGCAGCACGGGTGCATGGGCGATGATCTTGGTGGGGGCGGTCTTGTGGACGACGGCATTGAAGCCATTGTGATCGTCGGCGGTGTAGTCGACGGTGCGCACTGAACCATCGGGCTCAACCAGGGAGTACTGGCCTATAAAAGGGGTTGAACGAAATGGATATGCAATTTTAAGTGGGTGAGTACTGTAAGGTTGTAGCTATAAATACGGGCCCATATTATATAAAAACCAAAGCTGACATAAATGTTACGCAGCAAGCTATTAACATTTTTTAACATTTTTGTAACTGAGCTACCTGAGTTCAAAATCTTTTGACTTCGCATTTACATAAATGTCGTAATTGTTTTTTAACTAAGAATGTGAAGAAAATCTTTAAGAATCTTCTTTCTTAAGAAAATCTTTATACAATAAATATATTAACTTCAACTCGTTGAAATTTACATAGACCTTCGACTTAAAATTTAAAATATTGTATGAAATAACATACTAAAGTCCTTCTCATAGTCTTTTGCTTGATAGCAGAAAAATAAAGTTTTAAGATTGTCCATTGTGCGATTTTCTGAAGTTCGTTGCCTAAGTCATTTTATTTAAGTTCGTTGCCTAAGTCTTTCGTCTAATGGAGAACTTCAGGATCATTTGTGGTCGATGATCCATTGGAAACTCACCCTTCACCACATCACCGTCGCGCTCCTCGGCCTGCGATTTGATGTCGCCGGTATGGGGATCCTTAATGCCGTAGTTGAAGGAGTACTTGGGATAGGCCACCGGCTCGGCGTGGACGGCATGGACGGCGTGCGACAGGACTGGCGCATGATGCACCAGCGCAGGGGCGTAGTGGCCCAGCTCGATGGGAACGGCCTGAGCGGCGGCGAACAGCAGAGCGATGGCAACAAAGTACTAAAGAGTATGGAGAAGTGAGCATCAGGATCGGGGGAATCACTTGGATGGGGCTATGGTTGATGGGGGCAGAGGGTTCGAGCACACACCTTCATTTTAATTATCGAGCACGAACGGCAAACGGACACACGGCGCGAACACGTAGCTAAAAACAAGGACGAAGGACGACTGGACGCTGAATCCTGTAGAGGAGGCTGTAAGGAGTGAGCTCGAGTGAGTGAGGACCGTTAAGAGCACGAAATCGTTAGCTGAACTGATGTCTGCAACGATGACCAAAAGTATTTATATACGCGTCGCTCGCCGACGACTGCAACACGATCAACAACGACTGGAACGAACGACCGATGGCGGTGCAGCTGTGCCACCGGTGGGTTGCGGTGGGTGGTGTTGGTGGAGCTGGTGGTGCTGGTAGTGCCGGGGGAGCTAGATGACAGTTGCCAGCGGAGCAGTGCTGCAGTACCACACCACGCATGTGCCACAACAATGATCCCCGAGTTCCCCCGTTCAAAAATCTGCAGCTAGGTGCGGCATTTGTTTTTTCGGCCTGAGAAGGCGTTCGGTGACTTAGTTTCTTAGTTTCGCTGACTGTTTGTCTGCCTCTCGCTGATGACGGCGCTGCAATTGAAAGCGACACTTTTGCATTGGCTCTAATGATCTAAGCTCTTTATTTATTGATTTGCCGACATAACTATGATCGTTTCGGGTCCGCACAACTTGGCCGAAAAATATTATTACCATATCTGTGGCAATCAAACGGGGCGTCGTTATAATTACCACGCCAGCACCAACATCACCACCAATACCAAGCAAAACTTGCGTAGTTTTCGGGCCACGCAATTTGTTGCCTGACATTTTTGAGACCGATTTCAGTTTGTTATTTCCACGATCTGGAGAACTGTGTGCGGAATTTCGGTGTTGGCAAATAGTTTGACATGGCTAAGCAAATCAAACGCGGCTCAATCAATAATTTTCGGAGGCATGAGACAAATGTTTGTCGCCAAGATTGCGAGAAATGATAAATATTCTATGGCATTTTTAGCTAAGAGATTGTAGCGGAATGTTAATAAATATTACACGTATATAAAAAATGCACTGGATATATTTTATTTAGGATCTAAGCTGCCTTTCTATTAACTGGAATTCCTGACCAAGATTTCAGAAAAGATAATTATTAAGATTTCATTTAAGAGATGATGGTTAAATGCATTTTTGTTTGTTGTGTAATATCAGTATCTGATATAAGCAATGGCTGATAATAAATTTAGTGATTAAAAAGATTCTCAACCAATCTTGGCAATTACCATTGTATTTAACACTAAACTAACTAAACATTATATCATCAACTCCACCTCCATATTTTACGCTTGCTCAACTCAAAAAACAGTTTTTTTTGACACTTATTCGGGTAACACCCACAACAAACAGTTAACCGCTCTGGCATGACATATCAGAAAATTATGATTGTATCTTATAAAACACACACAAGTGGCCATTAAATAGAGACAAACAGCCGAGGGATGTGGAGGCCAAAGAGGAGACTGCCTGACGTCTGAGCAAACGATGGGAAAAAGGTCCAATGTTCATTTGCTAGGTGCAAAAAGCGTTGGCCAGAAAAAAAACACCAAAAAATCGAGACAAACCAAAAGATACTCAGATCACACTATAAGAGATCACTTTGGAATGGGCCTGGCCATTAGCATGGAAAGCCAAAACAAAGAAACAGAATCGACTTACATAAAACGGCTTTAAAGGCGACACATTTACACGGCAGGCCGAAAATCGCTCGAAACAATTGCCAACCGATGGACCACAAAAAAAGAGTTCGGGCCAAACAAGTTGGCCACGTCACGATCGCACTTTGACAGACCCAAGGAGTCGCAGGGGCTCGGTTTGGATGTTAGATGGTTAGTTGGTTAGTTGGTCACTGGACAAGACAGTTGGAAAATCGCAGTGACTACGACATGCTTTGTCTGGATCGATAGATAGTTGCGCAATGGCACCGCCAAGAGACAACATTGCTTGATCGATCGAATTGTTTTGCATGCGTTAATTGCACTTGTCCACGCATAACCCTCCCCCCCTCCCCATCCAATCCCCCTTCTCCTCCCATCGAAATCCATATCTGCGCAAACCCAACTCGAGATTTATTACACTTAGTGCTCCATCTGTCGATAACTAGAACAAACATTTAATCTTGATTTATGTTCGCCTATCTGGCAGTTTGTTTGCCTATGTTTGGACAATGGTTTGATGTGGGCGGGTGGCAGTCAGGGCGGGGCAGTGAAGGCTAATGGATCCATTGAACATGTAAACGCACTTTGCATCGGATTTCGGAATTTGAGCTGGGCAATTTCGGCTATTTGAGGTATTAAAAATTAATTGGTAAAACTCATAAAAATCAGTAAACGAATTAAGTTTGAGTTTACTGCTTGGTAGAAGTATATTTTTACACAGATACTTGATACTTTTATTTCTTTATAATAACACTTAAATGTTCCTGTACTAAGCATCGAAAAGTCGACCCACTTATGGTAATGTAATCACATTTTTTTAAATTGTACCCTTTGGCTTAAATGACTTGACAGTTATAGATTTGTGTCTTGATTTATGCAGTGGTCAAAACGATATTTCGTTTCTTTCGTGATTGAGACTTGAAGGTCTTTCGGCTATGCATTACTTGAAACTGGACAATAGCTCTCGGGGGTGTTTCCATTAGAAAGTGGGTGCAGTGAATGTGAATGTGATCCAGCATCGTTGCACAACGCTGCGTATGCATAACGTGCCATGTTCGGTGGACACATCCACAAAGGTTACATCCGGTGGACATTACGCAATCCCACCACTTCCGATACCCTTTGGAGGAGATCCAATGACACTGCAGCATCGTATGACTGTGGCCAATTAAAACATTTCCAAATGGGAGGATTCTTGCACGTCTGAGACCGACGCATGCTAACCATGTTTAGAGGTTTTCGGCCTTCCATTCTATGCCGCCAAAAGGGGCAGGTACACAGGCGGTTATTAGTGGACCAAAAGTTGGCTGTCAATTAGCCCGGTCCGGTTAAAGCCGTCAGCCCAATTTTGTCCCCGGCTCAATTGTGAGATTAGCGACGCAAAGTTGGTCAGGCTGCCTGGCATTTCAGCATTATTACCGCATCGCACGGCTGGCACAACCAGCCAGACTTCGCTTGATCCACTTTTTCCAGTCTGCTCTCTGCATTTCGCACATTTAATGCGATTTTGCGCATTTGCGCGTTTGAAATTAAGAGAGTGACGAAATGGAACCACCAGACATCAGCCAGCGACCAAAGTGGATCACGCATACTGGGGGAAAATAGATTTTCCGAGCTTGCAACAAACTTGCCTGTCCATCGGCCCGCTTGATTGAGTCCATGCGAAAATGAAAATCAAAAAGAAAAAGAAAAAGAAAACGAGATGGAGATCGAGATCGAGATCGAAATTGAATCAAAATCACAGTCCGGGCTCCAATAGATTGAGTCCACGTAAAACGCACACGCTTCACCAACCTGGCTGATATATGTGTACATATCCCAACATGACGTCGATGTTGTGGTTGCATAAAGATCGCCTCTTTGCCCCCCGTAACCCCGTTGAACCGGCGACAAAAGCTCGCCAGATATTTCAATTAGCGATTTATTTAGATTCTCCACTCTTTCAGCACCAGGAGTTTTGGGACCATTTTAATATAAATCCTTGAAATAAAAAAAAAAATTTTTTAAAATGTAGTTGAAGCAGTAAACATTGTTTATATGCTACGGGTATATGTTTTATTTGTAATTTATCACAATACATGAAATATAATTAATAGGTATTACAAGACGTCTAGTAATCCTCGCTGCTGGACTCCTCCTGCTGACTGTGAGCATCTGCTTCGACATATCCTTCCTCGCTGCTGCCCTCGTACTCCTGGTGATCCCCACCCTCCTCCTCCCCCTCCTCGTCCTTTTCCCCCTCGCCACCACCCTCATCGTAATCCTCGTGCACTTGGTACTGGCCTTTTTCCTGGTGCGGTGCTCGCTCCTCCTCCTCCTCCTCATCCTCATCCGTGTCCGCTTTGTGGGCCTCGGAGCTGTGGTGTCTCACCTGGTTGTCCACCGAACCGCCACCCGCATCCCCGTCGGATCCATGGCCGTGCAGAGTTTTCACACCGTTCGTAATAACCTCAGCTTGGAAGCCGTTGGCATCGTCGGCCGTGTATTTAACCACACGCAAGGTGCCATCCGGATCGACTACGCTGCGTGGAGGCCGTCGAAAGAGATATAAAATGAATTCAATGTGCGACTTAATGCATGTGCAAAGGTGTGTAATTGGTGTTTAGCTGGATTTTTATGAATATTCAGCATTAGCAATCAGTACAATGATGTTGATGACACGCACATGGTGAGAGTTAGAAGAATTTTTTACCATTTATTTTTTAAATTTGTTCATATTTGCTAAAATTTGCTTATAATTTAAAAAATATTTGTACTTGTTAATTGATAATTATTATCGATTATTATTATTATTATCTTGAGACATTTTAGATGCATATCCGTTGTTATTCATGTCTAGACCCTTCTGCCTTTTTATTGAGCACAGCTCGAAATGATTTCAAGATTGATTATATACAACCCGTTCTTAAAAAATCATATCAAATATGCAATGTATACAACTTTGCAGCAATCTTTAAAATCAACTTGTTAAAAAGCAGTGCCAACAAACTGTGCCTGCTGCCTCTGATATTAAGTGGTTTCAGAGTGTCCGCGATGCCATATCGATTTCAGCTCAGTGTGACGCTAATGAATGCGTTGACAAGTTGTCCCCATCCCAATCAAATCCATTCGCACTGACCACTCAAAACTCACCTGTAAACTCCTCTCACCTCGTCCCCGTTCCTCGTCTCCTTGCGATTCTGCAGCACGCGCGACTTGCCATCCTCGACTCCATAGGCGAAGCTGTACTCGGGACGGGCCACGTAGTCCACGGTGCGTCCATCGTGCACGGTGACCAGGTGCTCCGGCCCCACCACCGGACCCTCGAATCTCGCATAGGAGTATCCAACCGCTGCGCATGCGTCCATCATCCCGAATCCAGCAATTAGCGCCACCAGTGGCAGCAAATCTTTCAGTGGCCGCGCCGCAATGCGGAAGCCCAAACGTGTTGGACTCCGAGCTTGGGGTCCAAATCCAAATCGAAATCCATCGACGTCTCCAGCTGGGCTGGTTATGCGTCGCTTCTTCATAGCTCTCTATCAACAGCTGGTTACTTATGACTTATGATCGCAACCCTTCGATCCCCCGATTCTCGCACACTAAGCGTGAAATGTCGCACTTACCGGGTATTTATATAGCCATCAATTTAACATCGATTTTGGGAGGGAAATTGCATTTCCGCGAAATTATGCGCTTCAATGGAAAGCAGCCGAGTGGAACTTCAACTTCAGCAGGGATGTGGTCAACCGATGACGTTGGACCAGGCCACAAATTGCACCACTCCACGGGGTTTACACAATGCCTCCCGCCTGACGTCATCGATTCGCAGGGGCTCGCGGACAAGGGGGTCAACTTGGAAGGCATTAAATATATATTAATTCTCGCAAATGCCACGATCCCTGATTGACCATCGCGTATAGCGGCGCAATTTGTTCGGCTGAAAATCGCTTTAAGTGCGTTCAGTTCGCCAGTTAGGCACACTCATAGAAATTAGTGGGTATTGAATGAACTTCAATTGTGAAATCTCTGCCATAAAATATATGACTTATAAATAATATATGAATGAGTTTTGCCTTCATTTAAATGCTTAGTTTAGATCGATTACAACAAAATTTACTGAACACTTACGAGCATTAAAGATGCATATAGACATTATTTTCGTTCATTGCCATCAACATTTCTGAGATATTAAAATATGCAATTAAAAACCTGTAGATGCTAACTAATTATTTTTTCCCCTGTGCAAGTGCCCAAAAAAGTCGAACATGGAACTGCCGCCGATGGCCAAGATAAGCCACCTCCACGGGCCACCGGCAGGCGCAGCTGCAATCGCTGAAGCTTTGACCTTTTTCTGAGGGTCTGGCCAAAGGAGAAACATATAAAGAAAAATATAGAAAAAAAAGAGCTGGAAAACCGAAAACCAAAACCAAAAACCAAAACTGGCGAAAAGCAACCAAAATATGGCTTTTATTTCGGCTGCTTCCAATTTACAAGCAAAGCGCGCAGAGGCAGCCATTGTTGGCGATGCTTGAAAAATGCATATATCATTGGCCTTTGGTACTTGGCGGCAGTTTGTTGTGCGCACAGTAGTCGCTGCTTTTGGGGGGGATTCGCAGGCGACTTCACGAGGGTTTCAGGGGGATTGGGACTGGGACTTAACTGGCCATCGTGGGAAAACTAGTTGGCTGCACCTGTCTGTGTGAGTGTCTGCGCAGAAAGCGTCGCTTAATTACCCACATTACACAAATGCTGAGGCAACGAGAATCGCACATGGATCGCCACTATATAACTCTTTTTTGGCTGCCATTAACGTAATTAAGACGCAGCTCGTTTGCCCTTTAGTGGCTTTAGTGACACGCAACAAATGTGTCACTGCATTATGACTCCCAAATGGCGCAATGCAAATGCCTCCAAGTCGGCGGCTATTAAAGCGAAACTAAGCCACATGCCAGCGAGTCGTGTTGCTACTGCTTTTTCTATTTTGCTCGCTTTATTTTTGCGGCTAGCATTGGCCCAATGGCTGGGGTATCCTAGCCGAGCCAGCCAGGAAAGATTTCTGCGGCCAGATAAATTGCACATGCCACTGTGCCACTCTTACACTCGGAAAAATGTTAAATAAGATGCATATACTTAAAGCTATTAGAATCGCTGCAATCCTGCTTTCCTAAAAGAAATGCCTTCTTACGGACTTTAAAGTATATATCTACCTACGTTGTTAAAAGTATGGTAAATTTAAATGTATAATATTTGTCATGAGTTTTTTTTTTAAATATATCCTTTTATAATTCTTCTACACCCTTGTACTTAACATGCCTTATATATTTGGTCGATTTAGATCCCATCTCATATTTTGATTCGCCAAGTGCGCATGTGTGCTTTTCTATGAACGGTTATGTAAGGCATCCACTGTGCCGGCTTCTGCCCCATTTAAGCTGAAAACCCGCTTTGGCTTCGTTTTCCATTTCATTTGCACCAACTCCAAATGGAGGAGCAGCTGGAGACGGGGACTGAGATCTCGATCTGGAACGAGTCTCGGCCTGGTCAGCTTCTCTTCACTCGCGATTGCAAAACTCACACTCGTTCACTGAAAGCGAAGCGAGGAAACTTGACTCAATCAGTTGGCTGTAGCACTTTCATTCACACAAGTCAACACACACAGGAAGACTGAAACATAGAATTCTGATCAAATTTTAAAATTACGTTTTACATTTTGTCGTAGCTTTTTGCAATGATTTGCCTGTCACGGCTGGTCATCATTAACTTGCCCAGTGTCTGGCCACCAAAGAGATCCAAGGATTCTGAGAAAAAGGATAGCAACGGTATGGTGGGAGTACCTTCAAATATATTGTACTAAATATATTTTCCTAGCTTCTGTAAGGCCAGTTGCACCGAGGGATTTTCAGAGACCTTTGCAAATCCACACAAAAAGAGGCTACATCAAGTGGTTCAACAAACTCAGTCGCTGCCAGAAAACTCATCACTTTCCGGGAAGAATGCATCCCAGGTTGTAGAAGCGAATTAAACCAGGCTCTAATATAGTTGTTCTTCACTTGAATATTTTCTTTTGTTTTTGGATACCTAATTCACATAGCGGTACTAAAACACTGCTCTTGGTTTGAAATTCGGTTTTCCTCCTATTTCCCATCCCGATCGCTTCCATGGATGATTGGCAATTAAGATTGCATCGGGTGCATGGATTTACTCACGTTGCTGACCCATATTCGGAGTGGCTCTGCTTCAGCTGGGAGCCGGTTGTGGATAAGTTGGTCAGTGGTGCGATTGCCAGTGGCTGGAGCACCGTGACATGGCAAATGGCCACCAGTTGGCCAGATTTGAGCCCCTTTTTTGCGCCTTTCTAGAGCCGCTTTCCTCGTTATTCGCTCGGTTTTATCTGGCCAGAGGCAAATTAGTCAAATGGTAACAATTATATAATGGTCTAGTTATACTTGGCAACTTGGCGAGTATCCCGGCGAGAAGTGGGCGTTGCATGTTTGCCTTTCACTTTTTTTGCTGGATCTGGATCTGGATCGGCCAGCTGTGCCAGGATATATATCAAACGGCACGATTATACAATATAGCTAGCTACCCGATCGTCACGTAATTAGACGCCTCGTATGGCGGCAAACAATTGCAAACAGTTGGCAAACAATGTTTGAATGTTCTCTAAACTGCCGCGCGCAATTGAGACATTATTCAATTTGTGACAATCGCGAGAAAACCGAGAAAGAAACTGTATCAAGAGCTATAAACAATTAACTGCATTTTAGCTGCGATTTCCCAAAGCGATGTTCTAATTTTGCAACCGAAAATTCCTCGCTGGGCCCAAAGTTGTGAACATTTAATGAGCACCAAAAACGTAAATTTAATTTATATCGTTTTCTAAGCTTTTTGTCAGACGACAAATTTCGTAATTTTTTTGTTCGCTTTTTGTCGGTTTCTGGTTGTTTTTCTTTCTGCATGGTGGCTATTGCTATTGGGTGATTCGTGTAAACTGTGCCGACTCGGCATGGAGCTTTGGATTTGGACCCTGGTTGCATGTCAAAGGCGCATGAAACGACGCCAGCCTGCCACAAGAATCAAATGACACTCGGTCTGGTCCATTTCGGTCGCTCCATGGAGGCAAAAAATTATCCATGCAGTGCAGTATGCAGCGTGCAGTGTGCAGTATGCAGTATGATATGGTCAAAATACCCAGCAGTGTGTAGCCTTAATTGGCACCTCGACACTTGGCCAGGACCGAACCGAACTGAATCAAATCGAATCGAATCGAATGGCTGCTGTGTAGGTGCACTTGATGGCCGGCTCTGGTGTGAGATTTATGCATGTTCTCTTTGCGTATCCATTGCCCAACTGGTGGAGCGGCACGACGGCTTCTGGGCAGTTGGAAGCTTGGAAGTTGCAAGTTGGCACTTTTGTAGCTGCGGCGCCGCTTTTTGATAAAGTATCCCAGCCAATGGTCACGCAATAAATTTTTGACATGACTTACGCACGTCCCAAATGTTCGATGGGGGGGCAATTGAAATGAGTGGTGCCCATTATGTAGATCTAAGTGATCAGAAACATTCAATAACACTTATACAATTTTTATGGGAGCCAGCAAAGGCCACACTGCGTAGGAGTATTATAGTATTATTTATTGATTTCTTTTTGCTGCTTAATGTGCGGTTTTTTAAAAGAGATTTTGAATGAATAATTTTTTTTTATATAAGTGGAATGTAATTCTACCCTTCCACTACAATAAACACTCTTATACATATTTAATTTATGATAAATACTACGTGCGTATGTCTCCTCCCCTTCGATGTTGCACCTTTAAGGCCAGCTCTGCCCCAAAAATGTCAGCGATTAGCCGAGAATTTAATTTGACTGCACCCGCGCCTCCAACATCCGTCAATTTTCATCGGCGTGTTCGCTCTTGAACAGCCGCCCACCCTGAATTGGAAACAGATTTCCACATATGCAGATCGCAAAAATCCAATCTGCAATAACTTAATTCGAATGCTCGGCGGCAAGCGTCGCTGAAGCATTTAAAAATCGATTGATTGCAGTAAAGATCGTAATTACCGAGCAGTGAAAAACCTAGTCTTGATAATTAAAAGCACACAATCGCATAAGGCGAGCTTAGCAACTATAATTGCCGTCTGTTCATATTGGACGATAAAAGCCAGTGGTAATTGACATTTAAGGCAATTCATTAACGCAGCTAACACATGAGAGTCAAAGAGCCAAAACTAAATACTGAGTACCAGCAGGTGGACTACTGCTGAAATAAAAGAAAAAAATGGAAAAACATCAGATACAAGAATAACATGGCTAATCATGCACTAGATTTCGGGATATGTGCTTTTTTCACAGGCCCGACTAAAAAAATGTTGCCTCGGTTTTTTCTTCCAATTTTGCTCTGCGTATTTGCATACAAGTTGCCAAGTCGACGGCGCCACAATCTCCTCGGTTCCCAGCCTCCGGCAAGTTCGAAGATTTCGGAGAGCCGAGTTGTTAGCGGCAATTATTGTAACCTGCAAACGGGCTG